TCAGCCTGCTATTAGTGTTTACCGAGGCTCATGCCATGGCAGGCTGCCAGTTTATGAACGTCATCACTCATTGACCAGAGGAGCACTTAGATCTTTTCAGAAAAAGGGTTTTAGTGTATTGATTTTAGTGTCCGATAAAGGGAAGGGCTGTGTAACAAAGTCAGGAACCGTGGTTTTCTCACTGATTTGACCACAAGCCTGCTCAGTGGAAAGATGTTTCTGTGAAAATAACTAATGTGTTTTCACTCGTTTAAGAAGCTATGCGTGTGTTAAAGGTTTCCACCCTTCTGAATATTCTATCAGAAAGCTTCAGGTTTATTATTATAAAATTGGAGACTTTATTAGTGTTATTGTCGCTCTTTATTTTTTATAATAATCAAGTAGTTCAAATAGTGAAATTACACAATTATAAGTATGGGAATAATGTTGTGGGCACACTCTGGTTATTCATCAGCTTCATGAGGTGTATCCTGGTAGTCCTCGCGTGCATATGCTGGACACTTGAGCGCTTTTCCTTCACTGTTGGCTCCAACATGTGCAAAAGTAGTAATAAATTAATTAATAATAAAGGGAATACAAATAATATGCAGGAATATACATGTATATATATATATATATATATATATATAAATTATTTAGTGAAGTGTGTGAAAACTGTGGATATGTTTATATAATATATATATATTTCCAAGTTCCAATGTAACAAATTTGGGGTTTCTGTATAGCATTTTTTTCTTACCCTTTGGTTTCATACACCTACTTCAAAACTGATTATTCTTAAATTGGATTTGTATTTAATTTATTTAATTTGTATTTTTCTCCACACTAACATGCCAGAAAATGGTAAAATCTCTAAACATGTTTGATAAACAAGTGAACACAATAAAACTACACTACATCCAGTGAATTAATGTAATATGTTTAAATTTCACAGGAAAAGAATATTTTTTTAGATGTTAGGACATTTTTTTGTATATTTGATTTGTTGTCACTTTTTAATTGTTATAAATGTTTATTTATTATTTTTTTGGTCATTTCTATCACGTTTTAGAATTGTAGGCGTGATTTGTTGGCCAAAATTAATGGTTTATTATTTGTTTCTGTATCTTTTACATCCGCTCTCATTATTAATTTTTTTAATATAACTTCTTCACGGTTTAAATAGGCTAAGGGGATAACATAACAGCGTGCCCGAATATCGCACATTAACATAGTTTTTTTTTTTTTGTCATGGTAAAAATAATGGCTCATAACGAAGCAATAAAGTAAAGGGAGTTCAAGGTGTTGTTTGGGAAAATAATTTCGCGTGCGCTCGTGTAAATTGCGACCGCTGTGTGTTAATGTGCGTTTCGTCATCTTATATGCAGCCGTGATTTTTGAGCTAAAGTAGGACGGGGCTTTAGAAAGATCCATCCGATTTAACCCTCGGGCCAAACTCACCTCTCCCTTCCTTTTCGCAAACATCAGCAGAAATATCAGTCTGACCAATGGCTCTTATTCTGGGTTGTGCTTTACGAGTAGAACAGTCTGTACAAACACACTCTTACTCCAACCTCAGCGCGCGCAAAGCCAATCTCAGTGGCTGCAGCAAGTGGTGTGTTTTTCTTAATAGTTGTCTGATTGGACAAACCGTATGTCAGTATCTTGGCTTTTTCCCCCCCTCCGCATGGGACGTGTCCTTGTTTTTTTTTTGTTTTTTTTCCTTCTTCTTTTCTGAATCGAAATAGGGAGCTCAGCAGGTCATGTGTTAGAAACGCAGCAGCTTTACGCACAAACTTGTCTCACGTTAAGTTAAATAACCGAAAGGAGCACAAGCATCATAATATCTTTGAAAAAAATATCTTGTGTATTGCAATGATGATGTAGGAGAAGAATAACGTGACCATGTACGTTATCTCCAGCCGTGCAAGTCAACACGCGCGACCAAAGAATGTAAAGTCAAACAGCGGTTGCATTTGACACAGAATGAACAACGCGTTCTCATCCCAAAGCGCCATATAGGACGCTTTTGCAAAAGCGTAAATATCCAACGCACATGGCACCCTTTAACGTCCGCGCTATATCGCTGAAAACACTCTTTATGAAATATATTACAGCTTACTGTAAACACACCGGGTCAGTTGCAGTATTTTGCAGTTTGTTTCTTTTTGACATGCATTCTCAGAATAATATTCAGCACCGAGTTTCTTCATATTATTTTTCCTATAAAATTTTACAGGCAACACATTATTTGAAGACAATGTAATATGAATCTCAAATTTGTATTGCCACCAGTTTAATTGTTGGTTAATCATATGTATTACAGTTGGTCAGGAAATAATGCAACTTTTTTAAAGCATTTTGCATCCTACTTTGTTTAATATCACCAAATAAATAAAAAACTGGGCAGTTTAAATTAAATAATTACGTATTTGTGTGCAGGTGTTTATATTGTGTATGCGGCAAAAATAAAATAAAAAATGCTTTTGGTTGTACATGACCAAATACCAGCACAAACCAATTTAGCACTTGAGAGAAGTGTATTTAACAGTTAAATAAAATTGAGGTAAATGTATTTTGGTTATTAGTGCAGATAGAGTCAGTTTGGGGCTTTTGCTAATGCAGGGTGTGAGAGGTGTATTTAAGTTTCCTCTAAGAGTGTGTTAACATTAATCGTTTTTTCTGCACGATACAATGGAAAGGAGTCAGGTGAAGGTGTCCATGTCATTATGGTTTAATCATGTCATTTATAAAGCAGTACACAATCCACATCAATTTCTTAATAGGCTCAGGTTGCAACCTTGCACAAATTTGTGAAAAAAAAAAAAATCTTATAAAAAGAAGTACATACAGAAAATGCACAAATGCCACTTTGGATAGTCTTAAATGACAAAAGGCTTGACATAAATAAGTTAGTATATAATTTCCTCAGTGTTTTTTTTTATCCTTTTTTTCTTCTTTACAAAGCTGTATGCACAGGTATACTTCAATGTTTTTCACACTTGCTGTGTAACGTCTTAATTTAGGGGTTGTTTTTTTTTTTGCCGGTGTATACATATTTTTGTCATAGTGCCATGTCATGTTCAACATGAAAGCCAAATATGTTGTGGCAAAAAAGTGGCTTCATGTTGTTCTTAATAGTATGGCCCAGTGTTAAAGAAAATCCAAAATAAAAATATATACAAACATTATGCTACACAGCAATGAATAGAAAAACATCAAATTGACCTAAAAAAAAAAAAAGCAAATCAATTGGTCAGTACAGTTGCACTTTATTTATTTATTTTTTTGAACGTGTACTCAGTAGGATTTGAGAATTTATATAATTATGCCAAAACAACAAAAAATAATTTAAATAAAAGGAAATTAGTGGAATAACCCAGGGATATAATACTGTAAAGAAGTGTAAAAACCTTAATACCACACTACGAGTCACAGTCCCTTCAGAGAAGAACACAATTGACCAGGTGCTGTTGGCTGGTAAAATCATATTAAGTACCAATAAACATGAATGACATTAATGAAGACAGTGACATTTGTGCAGCTTAAAAATGGCCAAGATTGTGCTGCTGTAGCCAGCCAAAACTGAGACAATGGGATTGTTTAACCTAATTAAAGGGACATGCGTGTGTGTGTATGTGTGTGTGTACATAGGTATTTACTTTAAAGGGTTAATTTTAGGGAGACGTTTAAAAAACTGCACAGCAATTCTTCAAGTCAAACGCACTCCATTTATAAATGATTGTTTTTTTTAATCTTAATATTACATTTAAATGTGCTACATATAAAATGAAAGTATATACATAGGTAGTAAAGAAACAAATGAAGCAACTCCAATTGCACACTGCTACATTATCTGCTTTTGAGGCAAACATATTTTGTCGAGTGCCAAAACTTTAGTGTAAAAATTCAGTGCTTATACAGCCTCTCCAAGGCTCGATTTGTATTTTTCAACTGCTGTCCCTGTTTACTTCATAAAGCTCTTGAAGTATTTGATGGAGAAAATAGGCGTTTTCATCTGTCTGCAGGGAACAAAAAAAAAGTTGATTAGTAAAGGGAATAACATGTCGAACGAGTGAGCAAAAAATGTCACTCAGATTATCACAATACATGCAATAAATTAAAAACGGCAAAATATTTCAGAATACATTATAAAGCACTTGGAATGGAAAGCTAACAATTTTGCGCGCAAGTAGGCTAAATGCATGCATTCTGAACCCGGACTCCCTCCTCCTCACAGCCGCACGCACACATACACACATACACACACACACCCTACAAGAGACCTGCTGACGTGTTACTACAGTGTTGTGCATTTGAGTCGACTGTCACTCGCGCGGTGACAGAATGTTTTGTTTTAACAGTTTCGACTCTGATCGCTTGGAGCAGCATCGACAATAAACAAACATTATTAATGTGTAATAATAATAAAACAGGCATAGTAATAAACAAACAGCGACGTTTAACATTTTTGTACGAAGTCATTCTCGTTTACAAGATACACGCCAGACCAGTACGCACGAAACTCACCTCACCTTGTTTACGTTTTGGGTCTGACTTGCTGGTTGCTCGAGCGAACTCGTCGTATCCGGACAGCGGTTCTCCTCGGTCGCGTGCACGTTGGGTCTTTTGCTTTGGCAAGGAAGATCTAATGAAGAATGAAGATGTGTTAGAAAAGTCTCGGAAGCAAATGCAAGAGGAGGGCAAAGCGTGCTAGTAGTGGCGCTGTCACGAACTCGCAAAACATTTACCCCGATCCTCTGTCGACGGTCTTTTCCTCGGCGTAGTGAGCGCCGTTCGGCAACCGTCCGACTCCCGGTTTAATCATGTCATTTATAAAGCAGTACACAATCCACATCAATTTCTTAATAGGCTCAGGTTGCAACCTTGCACAAATTTGTGAAAAAAAAAAAAAATCTTATAAAAAGAAGTACATACAGAAAATGCACAAATGCCACTTTGGATAGTCTTAAATGACAAAAGGCTTGACATAAATAAGTTAGTATATAATTTCCTCAGTGTTTTTTTTTATCCTTTTTTTCTTCTTTACAAAGCTGTATGCACAGGTATACTTCAATGTTTTTCACACTTGCTGTGTAACGTCTTAATTTAGGGGTGTTTTTTTTTTTGCCGGTGTATACATATTTTTGTCATAGTGCCATGTCATGTTCAACATGAAAGCCAAATATGTTGTGGCAAAAAAGTGGCTTCATGTGTTGTTCTTAATAGTATGGCCCAGTGTTAAGAAAATCCAAAATAAAAATATATACAAACATTATGCTACACAGCAATGAATAGAAAAACATCAAATTGACCTAAAAAAAAAAAAAGCAAATCAATTGGTCAGTACAGTTGCACTTTATTTATTTATTTTTTTGAACGTGTACTCAGTAGGATTTGAGAATTTATATAATTATGCCAAAACAACAAAAAATAATTTAAATAAAAGGAAATTAGTGGAATAACCCAGGGATATAATACTGTAAAGAAGTGTAAAAACCTTAATACCACACTACGAGTCACAGTCCCTTCAGAGAAGAACACAATTGACCAGGTGCTGTTGGCTGGTAAAATCATATTAAGTACCAATAAACATGAATGACATTAATGAAGACAGTGACATTTGTGCAGCTTAAAAATGGCCAAGATTGTGCTGCTGTAGCCAGCCAAAACTGAGACAATGGGATTGTTTAACCTAATTAAAGGGACATGCTGTGTGTGTATGTGTGTGTGTACATAGGTATTTACTTTAAAAGGGTTAATTTTAGGGAGACGTTTAAAAACTGCACAGCAATTCTTCAAGTCAAACGCACTCCATTTATAAATGATTGTTTTTTTTAATCTTAATATTACATTTAAATGTGCTACATATAAAATGAAAGTATATACATAGGTAGTAAAAGAACAAATGAAGCAACTCCAATTGCACACTGCTACATTATCTGCTTTTGAGGCAAACATATTTTGTCGAGTGCCAAAACTTTAGTGTAAAAATTCAGTGCTTATACAGCCTCTCCAAGGCTCGATTTGTATTTTTCAACTGCTGTCCCTGTTTACTTCATAAAGCTCTTGAAGTATTTGATGGAGAAAATAGGCGTTTTCATCTGTCTGCAGGGAACAAAAAAAAAAAGTTGATTAGTAAAGGGAATAACATGTCGAACGAGTGAGCAAAAAATGTCACTCAGATTATCACAATACATGCAATAAATTAAAAACGGCAAAATATTTCAGAATACATTATAAAGCACTTGGAATGGAAAGCTAACAATTTTGCGCGCAAGTAAATGCATGCATTCTGAACCCGGACTCCCTCCTCCTCACAGCCGCACGCACACACATACACACACACACCCTACAAGAGACCTGCTGACGTGTTACTACAGTGTTGTGCATTTGAGTCGACTGTCACTCGCGCGGTGACAGAATGTTTTGTTTTAACAGTTTCGACTCTGATCGCTTGGAGCAGCATCGACAATAAACAAACATTATTAATGTGTAATAATAATAAAACAGGCATAGTAATAAACAAACAGCGACGTTTAACATTTTTGTACGAAGTCATTCTCGTTTACAAGATACACGCCAGACCAGTACGCACGAAACTCACCCTCACCTTGTTTACGTTTTGGGATCTGACTTGCTGGGTTGCTCGAGCGAACTCGTCGTATCCGGACAGCGGTTCTCCTCGGTCGCGTGCACGTTGGGTCTTTTGCTTTGGCAAGGAAGATCTAATGGAAGAATGAAGACTGTGTTAGAAAAGTCTCGGAAGCAAATGCAAGAGGAGGGCAAAGCGTGCTAGTAGTGCGCTGTCACGAACTCGCAAAACATTTACCCCGATCCTCTGTCGACGGTCTTTTCCTCGGCGTAGTGAGCGCCGTTCGGCAATCCGTCCGACTCCCGGTCTCCGTGCTGTCAGAGTCCCCCTCTGCGCTCTCCAGGGAGGGAGTTGTCAACAAATAATCGTGGTTCCCGTTATGGTCCACCACAGTCCCGGTAGAGGTAACGTTAGCCCGTTTTACGTGAGGCGGTCTGATGTAAAACTCCGGGACCTCTTTGGCGTCCACCTCTTGCCACTCGTAATTTCCCGGCGCGAGCGGCTCGTTCTTGGCGAAGTCGTAATTCCATTTTTCCTTGGACGCTTTCTCCATATCCCGCATTTGGTCCTCGACTTCCCTGGCGAGCTCTTCGCGATCCCCGGAGCCGAAGAGAATGCGGCAGACCGGCGGTTTGGCGTGGTCCGCCTGCCTCGCGTCCACCCTCTCCAGCGTGGGACTTCCATTGGAGACGCGCACTTTTGACATTTTGCACATGAAAGTTTGTCCGAGATTCGCAGTCGCAATCGAGCCAGACGCACTCTAACTAAAAGCGAACCCTCCCAAGAAAGCCGAGTGAATCGCAGAGCGCACGCATAACAAACGCGCCAGTGCGTGTGGAAAGACTAGAGCGCGTGGAAAACAAGTCATGAAAACAGCGCGCGGCCCCGAACACGTCTCGTAGTAATTCCGAAGAAAAACAGACGGGTCATTCGAGTAGGCGAGCACCCAATATGGCGATCGCAAGTAAACTGGCTAGGAGAAAAAAAGATTGACAGCAAAGGCTATTTAAACAGAAGACGCCTCTGATTGGCCGGCGAGGCACGGGTCCCGCCCACCGTTGAAAAACGATACAAACAGTACTCGCGCTCCCTTCAGTTCAGTGTTGCCATATTCTCTTATTATAAACCCTGTGGAGTTTATTTCTGAATGGTTATAAGATAGTAGTATAAGCAGTGGTTCCGAGCCACTGGGAGGCCTCTGCAGACTTATTTAGACAAAAAACTGAAATGCAAAACAAGTAGGCCTATGGAAAAAAGTGAAAATGCCATTTTTCTAATGAAATATATGTGATTGGCTCGAAATTGGTATTAAAAAAACTTGTCCAGTCAATCAGTGACGACTGAAATAGTTGTTTAAATGGATTAAAAAGTATGTGATGCCAAAAGAACATTAACTCCTAAAACGTCTGATAGTGAAATTGAGATATTTGAAAATAAAGTATTTTAGTTACGGGGTAAAAAAAAAAAAAAAGTTAAACGTGAAATGTTTTAATTTGGATCTTGTGATCTGGCAACACAGCTGCAGATTGAAATTTGGTGTTTTGCCATTTGTGTAAATCACATGAAGCTTTTAAAAAGATGATAGTAAAACTTTATAACGCACCTAGCAAGGTTTAACTGTAATATACAATATTGTGTGATTGAGTAAGATGAGGTCGTTATTATGAATATTGCTCTCTCAGTGGAGGTGTGTCACTTTCTTGCCAAGCCTGAGGTCATATTTGGCAGATGGCTTATCTCTGACAGACTTTGGCATTGCCAATAACAAGTAGATGAAATGTTCCAGCAACCCCTGCAGAATTCCTCAAGTGTCTGTGTGTGAAGACTTTTAAGTGTCACATTATGAATCATGTTGTGAACTGATGACAAAATATAAATGCTACAAACACATAAGAGTTATATTGTCAGAATCAAGTGACTGTCATAAGGGTTTGGAAATGTCTTTTGAGCAAAAAGTTTTAAGGAGAACTGTGTGAGAAATACATTGCTTTACTGCCACCTAGTGGGTTTTGTATCTAATATATATATATATATATAGAGAGAGAGAGAGAGAGAGAGAGAGTAATATATTAGTATAGTACATATACACTATAGTATATATATATATATATATATATATATATATACACTATACTATATATATATAGTATAGTGTCAGTCATTTTTTTACGTGTTTTTTCACATAAATGTGTATAACTCTGAAGGGCATTGAGATATTTTCACCAAATTTGGCACACACATGTATGGGCTCACTCTGAGGACACATAAAAAAATTGTTTGACTGAGCCTCTTGGTGGTGCTATAATAGAACAGAATGTGAAATTGCCTATTGAAATCAATACAGTTTTGTGATTTAAATGCTATACTTAACAAATGCATTGATGTAACATTACGAAACTCAGTGTGTGCCATAAGCAGCATGCCCTGAAGGTAGTCAAAATATATTTTTTGCGACAGCGCCACCTGTTGGTCAAAAGTTATAATGAATTTAGGAAAATTCTAATAACTTTTGAATGAATTTGCCTATTGTAATGACACTGACCTTAATAAATTCCTTTGTGTATGCTGAAAACATAGATACCAGGTTTGCCATAATCAGCCAAACTTCCTGTCCGCCATCTATATTTTGTTGGAAAACCTTCTTTTTCGAACTCCGATTTTCACCAAAATTGAATCGCATCATCTCCAGACCGTGCCGACTAAAAGTTATGGATTTCGTGACGATAGACAAAACCATTTTCGTATAGTTGTAGCCTGGTCATACCAGACTCTGCTTCACTTCGAGACATCGAGACGGCCGCATCGAGACATCACGCATCGAACTCAAATCTATGATCGAACTTCCACTGTAAATGGGAAGCGGTGCTTTTGTAAGGGCTGCAAAATGTGTGGCAACCGGGAATGAACAATTCACAGACTAGGTTATTTCTATGGTTTACTGAGCTGCGGCCCTCTATCAGAATCCAGAGTTCTGAGAAGATTGGGGATACTTAATTTTTTGCCCAAAAAAAAAAAAATGACAGTGGTACCCCTTACGTTTTTTTTTCTGGTCGAAATTTAGATTTTCGATATCTCAGCTCTGGAAGGGTCTAGAGCCTCCATTGTTGCACTCAGGTCTAAGTCTCATGACCCTCTATCAGAATCCAGAGTTCTGAGAAGATTGGGGAAACTTAATTTTTCGCCCAAAAAAAAAAACGACAGTGGTACCCCTTACGTTTTTTTTTCTGGTCGAAATTTGAGTTTTCGATATCTCAGCTCTGGAAGGGTCTAGAGCCTCCATTGTTGCACTCAGGTCTAAGTCTCATGGCCCTCTATCAGAATCCAGAGTTTTGAGAAGATTGGGGAAACTTAATTTTTCGCCCCAAAAAAAACGACAGTGGTACCCCTTACGTTTTTTTTTCTGGTCAAAGTTTAGATTTTCGATATCTCAGCTCTGGAAGGGTCTAGAGCCTCCATTGTTGCACTCAGGTCTAAGTCTCATGACCCTCTATCAGAATCCAGAGTTTTGAGAAGATTGGGGAAACTTAATTTTTCGCCCAAAAAAAAAAAAAACGACAGTGGTACCCCTTACGTTTTTTTTTTCTGGTCGAAATTTAGATTTTCGATATCTCAGCTCTGGAAGGGTCTAGAGCCTCCATTGTTGCACTCAGGTCTAAGTCTCATGACCCTCTATCAGAATCCAGAGTTCTGAGAAGATTGGGGAAACTTAATTTTTCGCCCAAAAAAAAAAAAAACGACAGTGGTACCCCTTACGTTTTTTTTTCTGGTCGAAATTTTGAGTTTCGATATCTCAGCTCTGGAAGGGTCTAGAGCCTCCATTGTTGCACTCAGGTCTAAGTCTCATGGCCCTCTATCAGAATCCAGAGTTTTGAGAAGATTGGGGATACTTAATTTTTTGCCCAAAAAAAAACGACAGTGGTACCCCTTACGTTTTTTTTTCTGGTCAAAATTTAGATTTTCGATATCTCAGCTCTGGAAGGGTCTAGAGCCTCCATTGTTGCACTCAGGTCTAAGTCTCATGACCCTCTATCAGAATCCAGAGTTCTGAGAAGATTGGGGAAACTTAATTTTTCGCCCAAAAAAAAAAACGACAGTGGTACCCCTTACGTTTTTTTTTCTGGTCGAAATTTTGAGTTTCGATATCTCAGCTCTGGAAGGGTCTAGAGCCTCCATTGTTGCACTCAGGTCTAAGTCTCATGACCCTCTATCAGAATCCAGAGTTCTGAGAAGATTGGGGAAACTTAATTTTTCGCCCAAAAAAAAAACGACAGTGGTACCCTTACGTTTTTTTTTCTTGTCGAAATTTTGAGTTTCGATATCTCAGCTCTGGAAGGGTCTAGAGCCTCCATTGTTGCACTCAGGTCTAAGTCTCATGGCCCTCTATCAGAATCCAGAGTTTTGAGAAGATTGGGGATACTTAATTTTTGCCCAAAAAAAAAACGACAGTGGTACCCCTTACGTTTTTTTTTCTGGTCGAAATTTTGAGTTTCGATATCTCAGCTCTGGAAGGGTCTAGAGCCTCCATTGTTGCACTCAGGTCTAAGTCTCATGGCCCTCTATCAGAATCCAGAGTTTTGAGAAGATTGGGGATACTTAATTTTTTGCCCAAAAAAAAAAAACGACAGTGGTACCCCTTACGTTTTTTTTTCTGGTCGAAATTTTGAGTTTCGATATCTCAGCTCTGGAAGGGTCTAGAGCCTCCATTGTTGCACTCAGGTCTAAGTCTCATGGCCCTCTATCAGAATCCAGAGTTTTGAGAAGATTGGGGAAACTTAATTTTTTGCCCAAAAAAAAAAAACGACAGTGGTACCCTTACGTTTTTTTTTCTGGTCGAAATTTAGAGTTTCGATATCTCAGCTCTGGAAGGGTCTAGAGCCTCCATTGTTGCACTCAGGTCTAAGTCTCATGGCCCTCTATCAGAATCCAGAGTTTTGAGAAGATTGGGGATACTTAATTTTTCGCCCAAAAAAAAAAAACGACAGTGGTACCCCTTACGTTTTTTTTTTCTGGTCGAAATTTTGAGTTTCGATATCTCAGCTCTGGAAGGGTCTAGAGCCTCCATTGTTGCACTCAGGTCTAAGTCTCATGACCCTCTATCAGAATCCAGAGTTTTGAGAAGATTGGGGAAACTTAATTTTTCGCCCAAAAAAAAAAAACGACAGTGGTACCCCTTACGTTTTTTTTCTGGTCGAAATTTTGAGTTTCGATATCTCAGCTCTGGAAGGGTCTAGAGCCTCCATTGTTGCACTCAGGTCTAAGTCTCATGGCCCTCTATCAGAATCCAGAGTTTTGAGAAGATTGGGGATACTTAATTTTTTGCCCAAAAAAAAAAACGACAGTGGTACCCCTTACGTTTTTTTTTCTGGTCGAAATTTAGATTTTCGATATCTCAGCTCTGGAAGGGTCTAGAGCCTCCATTGTTGCACTCAGGTCTAAGTCTCATGACCCTCTATCAGAATCCAGAGTTCTGAGAAGATTGGGGAAACTTAATTTTTCGCCCAAAAAAAAAAACGACAGTGGTACCCCTTACGTTTTTTTTTCTGGTCGAAATTTTGAGTTTCGATATCTCAGCTCTGGAAGGGTCTAGAGCCTCCATTGTTGCACTCAGGTCTAAGTCTCATGGCCCTCTATCAGAATCCAGAGTTTTGAGAAGATTGGGGATACTTAATTTTTTGCCCAAAAAAAAAAAACGACAGTGGTACCCCTTACGTTTTTTTTTCTGGTCGAAATTTAGATTTTCGATATCTCAGCTCTGGAAGGGTCTAGAGCCTCCATTGTTGCACTCAGGTCTAAGTCTCATGACCCTCTATCAGAATCCAGAGTTTTGAGAAGATTGGGGAAACTTAATTTTTCGCCCAAAAAAAAAAACGACAGTGGTACCCCTTACGTTTTTTTTTTCTGGTCGAAATTTTGAGTTTCGATATCTCAGCTCTGGAAGGGTCTAGAGCCTCCATTGTTGCACTCAGGTCTAAGTCTCATGGCCCTCTAT